CCCACACCCAGCTTCCCGCCCTATGACGTTCGGACACTTCACTTCGTGGCATGCGGACGACCGCGGCTACTATTCAGGGCCCCGCGGCCGACGACGACGGCGTGCGCGCGCGAAGACAAAACGAATGTGTCCCGCATGGTATTATTTGACAGGGATGATGGCCCTGGCAGGTGCGCAACCGTTGTTGCAGAAATTCGAAAAAGTTGCTCGCAAAAGCCCGTTTGACAGAAATGATTAAAAAGTGTTGGGTTTCCTACGAATCCGCAAGAGCGCGCGGGATGAAATTTTGATCATTCTTTTGTTGAAAAACCATTGGTTTTGTCATGTTTTTATGTTACAATCGCTACGAAAACTAAGGTTTTGGAAGGATTTCGTCTTGCGCGCGAGAATGTCCACTTTACCTATTTTTTTTGCAAGGGATTCTTGAAGTTTGGTTGTGTTACAACAAGAAATGTCCACTTTAGCTGATTTTCTGCAAGGGAAAACCGATCGTAACAACACAGCCGGATCTGGATGACATCGTTTTACCTGAGACTTCCTCACGAAAATGATGAAAATGTGGCTGCGGCCTAGGCGCGGCGGGGGGGCCATGCACCAGGGGTCCCAACAATACTTATTCTTTAGAAGTAATAATGTTCAACAACAACAACAACAACAACAACAACAACAACAACAACGACGACGACGACGACGACGACGACGACGACGACGACGACGACGACGACGACGACGACGACGACGACAACAACAACAACAACAACCGACGACTGGCGACCGACGAAAACCAAACGACCATGCACACCAACGACGAAATTTGCCTGGCGAAGGACCCAACCATATGCAGCTGTGAATGCCGGAAATCTGAATATCGTCTTCGGTGGCGCAACCTCTGGGTAGGGGGAACCGCATGCGGACACCCCACTGGGGCCTTCGTGGAGCTCCCTATGGGCCAACGAACGCCCGTCGGTGACTCCTATGGGGCCACGAAGCGCTGCTCTGGGTGGGGGAACCGCATGCGAACACCCCCACTGGGGCCTTCGGTGGAGCTCTTAAAGGGGCCCAGCGAGAAAAGCGCTTGCCCTGGTGGGGGTGAACCGCATGCGCCCCCCCCCGCCCCCCCTGGGACCTTTCGGTTGCTCCCCATGGGGCCACGAAGCGCTGCTCTGGGTGGGGAAACCGCAATGCGCCCCCCCCCCCCCACTGGGCCCTTGGTGGAGCTACCCCATGGGGCCACGAAGCGCTGCCTTGGTGAGGGAAACCGCATTGGCGCCCTCCCCAACTGGGGCCTTTATCGGTGAACTCTCCTACGGGGCGCCATAAAAAACGGCTGCCCTGGGTGGTGGGGGAACCGCATGCGCCCACCCCCACTGGTGCCTTCGGTGGAGCTCCCTATGGGGCCACGAAGCGCTGCCCTGGGTGGGGGAACCGCATGCGCCCACCCCCACTGGGGCATTCGGTGGAGCTCCCTATGGGGCCACGAAGCGCTGCCCTGGGTGAGGGAACCGCATGCGCCCACCCCCGCTGGGGCCTTCGGTGGAGCTCCCTATGGGGCCACGAAACGCTGCCCTGGGTGGGGGAACCGCATGCGCCCACCCCCACTGGGGCCTTCGGTGGAGCTCCCTGTGGGGCCAAGAAACGCTGCCCTGGGTGGGGGAACCGCATGCGCCCACCCCCACTGGGGCCTTCGGTGGAGCTCCCTGTGGGGCCACGAAGCGCTGCCCTGGGTGGGGGAACCGCATGCGCCCACCCCCACTGGGACCTTCGGTGGAGCCCCCTATAGGGCCACGAAGCGCTGCCCTGGGTGGGGGAACCGCATGCGCCCACCCCCACTGGGGCCTTCGGTGGAGCTCCCTGTGGGGCCACGAAACGCTGCCCTGAGTGGGGGAACCGCATGCGTCCATCCCCACTGGGGCCTTCGGTGGGGCCTCTATGGGGCCACGAAACGCTGCCCTGTGAGGGAACCGCATGCGCCCACCCCCCCTGGGGCCTTCGGTGAAGCTCCCTGTGGGGCCACGTGTGCCGAGAGCAAAGGCAAGGAGGGGGAGGGGGAGGAGGGAGGAGGGAGGACGGAGGAGGTGGAGGAGGAAGGAAGGAAGGAAGGAAGGAAGGAAGGAAGGAAGGAAGGAAGGAAGGAAGGAAGGAAGGAAGGAAGGAGAGGAGAGGAACGCGGGGCACCGTCTCTTCAAAACGAGGACCCAACACCACAGGATGGTTGGGAAAAAAACGCACTAAGTTTGCCATCCCCATGCCTCGGGTTGAATAACCAAAACCACGCTGACATGTCAAATAACAAACAAACGCGCCCGTCCGCAAACATAACTGATCACGCGACGACGGCGTCGGCGACGCCGACGGCGCCGAGGACAGCGCGAACAACCGACAATGACGACAACGAAAGCACCGACGTCAACCGACGGCTCGCGACCCCCAAATAACAAACAGCATCCCCGACGACGACGACAACGACGCAAGCCACCCCAATTAGTTCCAACCCTCGCCCCTCGATATCATTACCAAAGCAAATCCATGATGTCGCATCCACGCTAAACGCGCCCGTCGGCGAGCAGAGCGCTGACAACGACAGCGACGACGACGACAAGGACGGGATCTACAACAACAACAACAACAACAACAACAACAACAACAACAACGACAACGCAGGCAACAGTAATAACCGACGACTGGCGACCAAGAGAAGGCAAACGAACATCGACGACAACCCCGACGCAATCCGACCTAATTTTGCCATCACCGTACCTCGGGCTGACAACCGAAACCACTCCGATATTTTTCAGTTTTAGGGCAAACGCGCCCGTCCGCGAATACAGCTGATGACGCTACGACGGCGGTAGCGACGTCGACGACGAATAAGACAACTCGAACAACGGACAACCACAACAACAAACGCAACGTCGACAATCGACGGGTCGCGCCACATGGAAAACAAACGACCATCGACGACGACGACGGCACAAGCCGCCCCAATTTGTTCACACATCGTGCTTCGGGGCCATTACCAGTCTTTCTCTCTCTGCGTCTCTCTCTCTTTCTCTCTCTCTCTCTCATCCCACCTTCCATGCCGGAGAATTCAATTGTTCCGCGCCTGCAGAAATTCCTGGTTTCGCTCCGAGCCAGATTTCCGGGTTTGGCAAAAAAAATCCAAGTTTCAGTCGGAATCCTGGGTTTCGCGAGTCCGCTCCGAGCCGGGTTTCGACTCAGAAAATTCCGAGTCTGGAGCGAACTCCCGGGTTGAATTCTCGACCCCCCCCCGGACACCTTTGCCAAATGTCCTCCGGCCCGTCCCAGACCTTCCATGGCGCTTAGCCGGGTCTAGCCAGCAGACCCCAAGCGACCAGAGCGGTGATCAGAGAGGCCGAAGAGAGACCCAAAACAGCACAAGGGCGCTCCAAGAAGGACCCAGATGGCCTCCAGAGGCCCCCAAGACGGCCCAGGAGGCCCTGAATAATATTCCCAGAACGCAAAACCGCGTCATTCCCTGGAGGAAACATACATTTTTAGAGTATTCGTTGTCTTAGCGGTGCTCAAACCAGCCAAAAAGGCCTCTGGTATCGCCCCAAGACGGCCCAAGAGACCTCCACGAGAGCCTCTAGACGGCCTGGATGGCCCCAAGACTGGGAGCCCCGAGTGAGTCAACAAAAACGCCCAACAGGCCCGCACAAGGCGCCCAAGAGAAGCCAAAAAAGGCCATGGGAGGCCACCGGGGGAGCCTACGTAGCCCCCCCAAGGTCCTTAGGGTCCCTAGAGGGCCCAAGCTCCCTAACACGGCCCAAGATGGCCCCAGGACGGCTCGAGAGGGCCTCAAGCCAGCGCACCAAGGCTCCAACAAGGCCCACACGGCGTTTTCCACCAAACCGACTTGAATCCCGGGTTCGCAACCACATTTCCGGGAAATTTGTTGCGAACCCAGGATTCGGTGTAATCCCAAAGACTTGCTTATCTTCGCGTGCCCCGTTGCGACCCGCTGCAACACGACATCCTCGGCTTGGCATTGCTTCATTGCTTTGTACTTAGCGGCATTGCTTGACATTGCGTCGGTTTGCTTTGCATTCATTCGCGTGGTTTGCCACTCCTCGGTGCGGCGCAACCGAAATTCTTCGCCGTCCCCCGACGGCACCATCTCCTTCCCTCATCCTGCTCCTCTCTGGGTCCTCCTCCTTTTCCTCCTCCTCCTGCACGTCCTCTTCTTCCGCTCCACCACTCGTCCTCCCCCACATCCGCTTCCCTCCCCTCGCTTCCCGGAATTCCATCCCTCCTATCGTCCGCCATCCGCCCGGCGCCTATCGGGAGTCCCTGGAGGCCCGGCAAGGGCCACGGACCGCCAGAACTTTCGAAGATTTCCGAAAACCACCGCAGGTAAAGGACCAAGTTTCCAAGGCCACTAGGGATGGCGCAAACGACCAACATAAGCAAAGCCTCAGGGACCAAGGTGCATGGCGCGAAACGCTAATGCATGGCGCGAAACGCTAATGAAACTAATGTATATACGTATGTATATATATATATATATGATTGTCGGACTCTGGCGGCCCTCGCCAGGTCCAGGGACCGTCGAAAAGCAACTCAAAAAGCGACTCGGCATGGAAAACCAGCACAGCGGAAAGGGTCGGGACTTCGGGGGATCGCGCATTGAAATAATCGAGACATCGGGTTATGGGTCCTCTCGTTCTGCGGCCGGAAACTTTGCGTAGCGTGTCGCGGCGGCGGCCCCAGCAGAACGCCATGCCCTGCAAGGTGACAGCGTGGCGCTCCGCTTTGCGGGGTGGGAGGCTGGGAAAAGCTCGGGACGTGGACGCCTGGGGACCAGGACGTGGTGAGCGTGTCGCTCCGCTCCTCGGTGAACCAGAGCCCGCGGAGCGGCACGCCGAGCAAAAGTCCCCGACCGTAGAACGCTCATCTACTGTCTGGTGTTGGCATGTCTTCTTCAGTACTGAAGAGGGACCCTCAAGAGACCAAAGGGAAACTCCAACATGCGTCTTGAACTCCAAATCATGCAAGCTTCGCTGCTGCCCTAGCGCGGTGGCAGGGTTTGCCGCAGGCAGCTGGATAGATGCCGAGCCCTCCCAGTGACAGGCAGAACGCCACACCTGGAGGAGCAAAAAGCTGCATTAACATAAACGTTCGGAAATGTATGTTTACAGTGAAGCTGCTACCGCAAGGAACGCTGAATGAGAAACGGATCCGTTTTTTGGCACCAAAGAGCGCCTGGGTGAACGAAGAGAGCTAGAGGAACAATCACGGAATGACTTAAGGAAAAGCGAGTCCCTTCCGAACCCAAACCGGTTCTTATCTCAGCGCCTTGACTGTATGACATTGCTGCTTCTTCTTCGCGCACCGTACAACCACGACATCCTCCCGTGCTGCACCTGCCACGCGAACAGCGCGCTGTAGAAATCGCTGGTCAGCAGCGACAGGTTGAACAGGGCGGCGTCCGCCATCGTGAAGAAGAGGCTTGTCAGCACGTAGACGGCGCACATGCAGAGCTGGTAGCCGAAGAAGCATGCCACCGTCTGGGAATTCCTAACCAGCCTCGAGCTCATCCCCTTCCCCAAGATCGACAAGCCAACATGCGATGACAATCTTAAGGATGCGCCCTCAGAAACTGACGGGATTCCTAAGATCGGCATCGTGATAAGGCGATGCCAGTCGTATGTATTGGGATAGTTTCCAGGCTGGTACGTTCCAGTTGCTCCGCGCCAGGGCCCCGCGCTCCAGGGCCACCGCCTGCACGAACGAGATCGCGGACCCCCAAGCGCCCAGCATCCCCAGTGCCTCTGGACGGCTGCAGCCGCCCTTCAGCAGCCGCTCCTGCATCACGTTGGACAGCCCGTACAGACTAGCACCACACAAAACCAAAACATCGCCAATCCACGCCGGCCCCCTCGGACTAGGGCCAACCCTCCCAACAACTACGTCGGAGAACACGGCGGTGGCAAGTCCTGCTACGCAGACGCAGCACGCTGCGACGTGGCGCGGGCCGTAGCGCACGCGGAGGATAAAGAATGAACAGGCAATGGCGCTCGGTATTGCAAAGCAGTCCAGCAGAGTGACCGACACGATGGAGGTGTACTGGAACGCCGCCACGACCTCAATTGTTCTAGAAGACGCATGGGGGGCGGGGCGTTTATATATATAGAGAGAGAGAGAGAGAGAGAGAGAAAAAAAAATAATAATACCTAAAACACATAAATAACAGTTCCCACTGAGTGTTCTTAACTTGACCAAGACGTTCTAACGACGATATCATGGAATGTGGACATCACGCGTGCGGCCTTGTGATACATAATTCTATATATATATATATATATATACAAGAGGTGCCGAACACGGACGGAAGACGAGCAAGTGGGCCACGAACCGATCACGGCCCTGAAAACGTTACACAAAGGGGCCCCAAAACGGAAAGAAACTGTCAATCGTGAAAACAGAACAAAGCAACGCCTCGAGCGTCTTCAATATCATCTAAGGCCGCGACCAGGTAGTTCGCCTCCACGTCGCAGAAAGCCCACAAGGCGTACTGCCACGAAGGTGCCGCCAATGGCCTCCCTCCCCGCAGCGCCAACGGCAGGTGCAGAGACAGCGCCAGGTAGTTTAGGCTGGACTTGGAAGAGGCCAGGGCTCTGAGCAGAACGCCGTCGGGAAATTCGATATAGCGTGTCGTTTGGGTGGCCCCACCGACATCCCATGGTTTGCGTGTTGTTCCGCTCCGCGGGGCGGAAGGCTCGGGACATCCACGCCCAGGGCCCGCCAAGAAGATACTGTGTCGCGCCGAAGCGCGGCGGGCCAAAACCAGCGAAACGACGCGCTATCCCAAAGTTCCCGACCGAAAACCTAAAAAAAATCAATCAAGAGGGGGGAGGGAGGATGAAGACAAATTCACCCAAAATCTGTCCCCTGACCCCTCCGTGGGTCGAAACTGACCATGTGTGCGAGCCGCGTCCAGCCGTGGTAATTAAAGGAGACTTTCTGCCCCATTTCTGGTGGCCGGACCCTGTGCTGGGCCACTTCAACCCCCTGGCCGGCTCCAATGCTGGACTGCGTCACCGGGACGTCGATCCCCCCGTTCGCCAGCAGCGTCGAACATACGCTCGAGCCCGTGATCAGCAGGGACACCAGCTGCCCGAGCGCGAACGAGAGCAGCCCCCGCGAAAGCACCGGTGCCGGCGCCAGCAGCGCGGCCATCCCCGGGCGGGACGCCGAGGGCCGCCGAGAGGCAAGGCCCGAGGATCGAGTCTGCAAGATCGAGGTACCAAGATCGAGGCCCGAGGCCGTAGATCCGAGGACTCAGCACCGAGGCTCGAGGTCCGTGGATCGAGGTCCGAGCGCCTGCTTCGCGGCGTGGGGCCCAGGCCTCCCGCGCCCAGCGAAGTGCTGAGCGCCCCGCCTTCCCCTCGGCCGCCCAGGTTCTCACCCCCGCACCGCCCTGGGGAGAACTTGGATCACCGAGGTGGTTGCTAAGTGGTTGGCTCGGATGTAATCACTTAGCCCACTTCCTAACCAGGATACCTAAGTAGGCTATGGACACTTAGCGGTTCGAGGATGTATCCTGGTTATCAATGGTTCACTAACTTGGTTAGCTCGGTGGCTAACCTAGTTAGACCTCAGCGGCTAACCTAGTTAGCTCGCTCCGCTAACCTCGTTAGCAAGCCTCCGTAACTAGGTTACCGAGGTCTCAGAAACGCTTGAAAAACGAAGGCGGAGGAGGAGGAGGAGGAGGAGGAGGAGGACAAGGAGGAGGAGGAGGAGAAGGGAGGAGGAGGAAGGTGGGAGGAGGAAGGCGGGAGGAGGAGGAGGGGAGGAGAGGGGAGGAGGGAGGAGGGAATGATGATGATGGATAGTGGATGATGATGAGAGGAGATGAGAGATGAGTTAGGAGGAGAGGAGGAGGAGAGAGGAGAGGAGGGGAGGAGGAGGGGAAATGGAGTAGAGAGAGGAAGGAGTGGAGGAGGAGGAGGAGGAGGAGGGGAGGAGGAGGAGAGGGAGGAGCAGCAGCAGAGCAGCAGCAGCAACGCAACATGTGGAGCAGGATGGGAGGAGGGGGAGGAGGAAGAGGGAAGACCGCCCCCTGCGAGACTCTGCCCCGTCGTTCAGGCGTGCGGCGGATCGGGCGTAGCCTTCTCACGGACTCGCGGCACAGGGAAAAATGACTCGAACGTATCGTGTTCGAACTGGCACGTTTCGTGTTATTTTGCTTTCTCCTCCTCCTCCTCCTCCTCCTCCTCAACCTCCTCCTCCTCCTCCTCCTCCTCCTCCTCTCCTGTCCTCCTAATCTTTCTGCTCCTCCATCTTCTCCTCCTTAAGCCCTCCCTTGCTAGCGTGCCTGTTTTCAGCAGTGCGCCATGACAGTCTCAAGCACGGCTCAAGGTTATCTCAAAGTTTCAAGGCCCTCCCCTTTGTATTCGACCTTCCTGTCACCTCCCTCAATATCACAAAGCACGCAAAGCTCGCATATTAAGCTTGGGCGGCACAATCATTTGTGACAGTCTGCCCTGGTCGCACGGCCAAAAAAATGCAATGATCTAGGATCTTGTCGGAGTGCATCAGGACTGGGTTGTCATCCCGTCTGCACTTCGCGATGTGTTCTGATACTTCAACAGCAGGCCAATTAGACACACAGGAAAACAACACACCGCTCAAGCTAACGTGGAAATAGACTTGACCGAACAAGACTCTGGACGTCCCGTCAGGGCTGAGGAACGCAACTGAATCACCGATTTGAACAGCTCTATTGTTGATCTGGCACGCTTTGGCTGTCAGGACGGTTTCTCCGCACAGGTTTCCAAGGACCGAAGACAGCGCAGCTTGAAGTTTCTTCGAAACGACCCTCGGGCATAACAGATCTGAGCGGCCAATCTGGGAATTCTACAAATACCATAGATGCTGGCATGTAACTTCCTCGAGGAGGCCGCGGTCATACCCCTGCGTGTTGCGACGTTGCTGCGCAAATGTTTTTACGGCCCTGTGTTTGCGCTCCATCACAAACGTAGATATTAATCATTGTTGCAACACCAGTTGCTTGGGCAGATGAAGGGCCTCATGGAATGTTGGTTTCCAGGGATCGGAGCCATACGCTCTCTTATGAGCTTCTAGGTGTGATACGATCGCAACTCCGAGCTCCTTCCCTGAAGCCAATCCTGTGTTCGCACTCTGGAGAAGGCTCAACGCGTTGCAAAGCAAGGTCCCGCTAGCGACTTCAAGCTGGCAAACAGTGTGTGGGGTGACCACATCTTTCAGGTGCTTATGCAAGGCAGGATATACATTCAAGTACTCGCTAGCGCTGCCTCCTGGGCTGTGGTTCTTATGCTTTCTACAAACGTCTTTTCCATCGCCAAATGCAGTTGGCCATTTCCACTGCTGAAGGTACTCATCAAACTTATTGGCCCCAAGACGTTTCCCGCCCAATCGCGAGAGAAGTTCTTTGAACCCCTGAACGAAAACACCGTCGACCAGGTATATATGCATGTAGTCCCACACAATTACCCTGGGCATACCGAACTGAAGAAATGGGTCCTGCATGAACCCCGTCGGACAATAATTATAGCCAACCGCCATCTCCAGGGATTCCAAAGATTCTTTCGTTGTTGCAGTGGGTGCCCCATCCCGCAATGCCTGCTGGATACCCATGATCGGCTCCGCCGTGTGCAGTTCAAACTCGCCGACATCCGTTTCAATTGAGCTCACGAACTCATTGGACTTTGATAGCCATGGACAATTCTTCGCCAGAGCATTTCTGCAGATCATACATATCTTATAGCCACCACTTCCATTGCAATGCAATGTGAACTTCTGAGCGCGCTCATCCTGGATGATCACGCTCAAGTCGCCATGGAGAAGCCGAGGCTGTCGCTCGCCAGGAACCTGGAACGCTATCCCATCGCGAAGATCTGGGCGATGAGGCCTGCCAAACCAAAGTTTCAAGAGGTGCTTCGCGATCTCTCCCATGCCACCAGGGAACTCTTTCTCTTTTGTACTACGCATCGTGCACACTGCGAACCACAGGTTCTCATGGCTGAGCAAGGGGAACCATGAATATTTGATGCTCCAAAAACAACACAGCACTTTTCTCTTACTGGGTTCGGCCAGCACGTTTCCTGGGGCCACTTCGTCTGTATAGAAGCACAAGCTCACTTGATTAGAGCTCTTGTCAAGAGTTGAGGTCACAAGGTCTTTGAAGTTCTGCGACCTCCCCATCGCTACTTGGAGAAACGCCAACGGATGCTGCACCCACAACTCCAGAGGTGTCGATCGGCCTGCACGTGGTATCTCAATCCGCTGGACAAGAGGGCCGAAGTCAGTTTTCTGGCATGCGGCCTCTTGCCCCCGACGGGCAATTGTGGCTGGCGAGAACGCATCGGGAAGGCCTTCTGCCTCCACCTGCGCGAGAAGCCGGGAAGCCCCGCGCGCGCTCACGAAACTCGCGCGGCCGAGATCACACAACTTTGGTCGCTTTGCCATCTCGCAGCGAATTTCAAACGCTGACCTGTGCTACATTTGGGCCAAAACGGGCACGCGCGATGACAGCAATGCCTGTCGATTGTGAGGATGTTGATGCTTGGGGCCAACTGTATTTCAGACAGTGAATACGATCACCCATCGTGCATTAACCAAATCATTAGGGGGACTTGCGACGCGCGGCAGACTTGCGAAAAAAAAAAAAAAAAAAAAACTTCCCTTTCCCGTCCTCCCCCTCATCCTCCTCATCAGTTGCTCCTCCAGCGCGTCTTCAGGAAGGTCTAGTTGGACCTTTGCCGCGCTGAGACCCGACGGGGTCTCCCAAGACAGCCCCCCCCCCCCCCCCCCCCCCCCAGCTCCAAGAAGGTTCCATGACTACAATGCAGGGGGCCAAGACGACTCCAAGACTTAAGGGCACCGCTAGGAGAGCAAACGAAAAGCTGGCCAATTTTGCCCGAAACGCCAGGGCCCCAAACGCGCCATCAAGGAGGAGGGTGGAGGAGGAGAAAGGAGGAGGAGGAGGAGGAGGAGGAGGAGGAGGAGGAGGGAGGAGGCAATAGGCGAGGGAGGAAGGAAGAGGATAGGAGGAGGGAGGGGGAGAGGGAAGAGGAGAGGGAGGGGGAGGAGGAGGAGAATGCGGAGGAGGAGGAGGAGGTGGGCTTGCCTTTCTCTCTGTCAGGTCCTACTGCGTCGCCCACCTCAGTGAAAAAAACTGCAGGCCCCTATTTGGTAGTGGAGCGCTGCTGGTCACATCTAGGTACATTGAGCTGGGAGCACATGCGCGCGCGAACGCTGTCTAGAAGGAGCATCGCACAAACACCCATAATGAACGATTACTCTGCTCGCGCGCAGTCGGAAAAAGAGCAGCCACCTACTTAGTTGACTTCTCATATACGTGGCTCGCAAAGGCCAATGCTGCCCTGGCAACCGTGATGATGTCTGACTGCGAGAGGCCAGCCTTGCGCGCGAGTGTCTTCGCGCCATTATACGCCCTGGAGGTGTAGGCGTTCCTCGAGCGATCCCCGATGTCACTGGCCTTGCAGAGATGGCTGCAGTCGATCTCCAGGCACGAGCCTCGCAGACTCTTGTTTTTTAAAATATAAAATTTTTTAAAAGGAAAAAACTCCCCCTCCTCCTCCTCCGTCCTCCTCTCCTCTTCTTCCTCCCCCGCCGTCCTCCTCTCCTCTTCCTCCTCCTCCTTCTCCTCCTCCTCCTCCTCTTCCTCGCCCCCCTCCTTCTCCCAGTTCTTCAAATTCGGTTAAAAGAAACAGTTTTAACCCTCGTCTTCCTCCTGCCGCTCCTCCTCCTCCGTCTCCTCCGCTCCTCTCTCTATTTCTCTCTCCTCCTGCTGCTGCTGATCCCCCCCCTTCTCCTCCTTGCCCTCCTCATCCTCCTCCTCCTCGAGTGGGATCAAGGCCTTTCGGCGCCGACTTGGGCGACCCCTTGGTGATCTTCCTGACGGGCGTCTGGGCGGGGGCAGCTTTGGCTTTGGGCTTGGGCGTGGCCTTGGCCTTGGCCTTGCCCTTCGCCAAAGCCTTGCCCTTGGCTTTGCCCTTGCCCTTGGCCCCTGCAGCCTCTCGCATTGCCTCCTCCATCGCGGCAGCCTCGTCGACAGCCCCTGCAGGCGCCAGCGTTTCAAGGGCGCCGTCACCTGCTGCGACGAGGGCGGCTTCATGGGCAGGAGGCTGGTTATCTTGCGACTCAACGTCGGCCAGGCTGCCGATGTCGGGCGCAGCTCCTGCGGCAACGCCAGCCATAGGGATCGTCGTAGCGCTGAGCGCGTCGACGGACCTAGCGCGGCGACGGCCGCTCTGGGGCGCGAACATCAGGAAAGGGGTTCCGCGCGAGGCCCTCTGGGGTGAACTGGAGGTTGATGCCGTTGTCGCGGTTGCCGCTGTTCCCGCCTTGCTGGTTGGAGAACTGCGCGGCGATCTGCGCCATCTGCTGCGCAAACGCCGCCATCGCGTTGGCCACGGCGCCGTGAGGGACGAGTGCACCCATGTGAGAGGCAGCCGAAGACGACGGCGATGCCGAGGTAGTGCGATGAC